ACAACAGGGTTAGTTAAGGAATATCGGATGCAGTTTTAGGAAAAACTGGCACAGACAAACAGATTTGTTCAAGTTGATCAGTATGTAAGTTTGTTCACAGCAGGACTAATTGATTGTCTCCACTTAGAGGTCGAGATGTAATCACTTGCCACTCTTGTGCATGCAATGAGTATTGCTAGAGCTTTTGAAAAGAAACAACAGTTGTGAATTATGACCAAACACAATTGTTGTGAATCTTCTCAATTCGTGACCAAGCGTAACAATTCAGTTCAGGAAATACCAGTTCTACAGAATAGCAACATTACAACACAATTTGGTAACACTTCCTCTCCAGTTATAAAGAAACTAATAAAGACAGAGATGACAAAAAAAAGACTGAAGAGACTGTGTTATAATTGCGAGGAGTCGTTTGTTTCAGGTCACCAATGTAAATGACTATTCTGGCTTGAGATTGAATATGATGCTTGACATAAGAAAAGACCAACGAGACAAGTACATCCACATTTCAAGCTTGAGAACAAACTTGAAAACCAAGTGAGAGTAATGTTATGGATGTAAATATGGAAGGTGCAGCAAGAATAGGAAATTGACATTCAATTAAATATGGAATCCTAATTAATATTATATTTTTAAATAGTTGTGAATTCTAATTAGTATTAGATTTCTAAATAATATATATTTTCCATTAATACTTTATTCTTAAATAGTGTTGGATTTTCAATATATTAGTAGAGTATTTTTAATTAGATTTAAATTTCAAATTAGATTAATATTCGTAAATAAAAATTATAACCTCTATATAAAGGAAAATGCTTGCTATTAATAAAATAAGTTAGAATATTATTCTAAAGTACGAGATTGGAGTTCTCTCTAATGAGGTCCAAGATAGCAATTTCCTTTGATGGGATGTAATATATTTTTAAAATAGACTGTTCAAGAAATTGCAACAAGGAAAAGAACCAGATTATGGAATCGGAAATTTCATATAACCGTCCAGTGACAAAATCCTGATCTCAGGAACATAATAGATATCTAGAGGATACTCTAATTTTTTAATAACTATAGATGATTTTGTTGAAGAATAATGCACACCATAAATGGGCGCAAAGTGTAAGGACCCGACTAATAGTGGTTAGATTTGTTAGAAATAATTAGTTAAGTTGTTTTGATTTGTTAGAAATTAGTTTTAATTAATTACTTTTCAGCTATAAAGAAGTGGAGTTGAGAATTGAGTTTTTATCTATAAAATATAAATAAAATTTCAAACTTCTCTCTACACAATTTCTCTTTTCTCTTCTTCTCCCTTACTCTTTCTTCTCCTTAGATTCTAATTCTTCTTTCATCTTCTTCTAAATTGTTTTCTATTTCTTCTACATTTCTGCTTCCTTTATTTCATCACAAGTCAGGACAGGTTCCTGACAAATTGGTGTTGGAGCAGCTTGATTCCAAGAAAATGCAAGCCGCTGTGATTGCGATTACCTAGAAAAAAAGGAAAAGCAACAACTGTCTATCAACAATGCATCAATCAGTCTGTAAAAGAGCTCGATCTGAGGCTGTCCGAGTTCATAACAAGAATGCGCAGATTGCAAAGGCAAACACACCAGTGGTTGAATCAGATTTTGGAGCTTCTGCGTGGTAACATGCGACATTATGATGTAAATGCACCAGGAGAAGCTTCACAAGAATTTGTTCCCCTTAATCCCTAGTTTTCTTTTACTTATCTATATTCTTCAGTTTCTTGCCCAAATTTTCTCTATTTTCAAACTACCCGCAGAACAAAATAGTTTTGCTGTTATTTGTCCTACATCACACAACCTTTCCTTCCCATTTAGTGAGAAACAGTCCCCAACCTTGGCTTCTTTGTCTGGCAAGGGAGAAAAAATGGTAGAAAAGAGCCATATCACAAATATTTGCAGTCCAAGGTAACCAAAAAGGGATTGTTGTGCAATTATATTGGGGTTTGTGCTGATGGTATGAAACTTAACTTTATGAAGTCGTCATGAGGGTCTTCTCTTAAGAGAAGGTTAAGCATTTACTCTGCATTTTGTGTATGTTTTACTGCTTTAAGCTCATATACATGATTCCTTTGTTTCATTGATGATTTGACTTATAGGAGTTTTTTGTCAGAATTTTCAACTTCACTATTTCTATTTTCCTTTTTCTTGTATCAAGCTGTTATCTATCACCTAATATAATGCAGATCATTTTGCATTCGGTCTAA